CTTTTTAAGTGAAACATAAGTTGTACATATTTATGGGGCATCATGTGGTGTGCAGTAATACTTTATATAATAAAGGTATTAATTCTATTTGTTATATAATTCTACCATATATTTTATAATAAAAATTATATATTTTAATCTACCTATCACCCTGTGAATATGATATATAAATTGAATACTTTATCCATGTGACTGTTTTCCTTGTCATTTGATATATGCAAAATTTAATTATTTTTAATTGTAACTACATAATTGAATCATTTCCATGTTTCAACTTTTGCTTCTGTACTTTAGTACGTTTCCCCACACCCAAAATCAGATATTATAATGTCTCCTAGTATATTACCGCATTTTTTATATTCATTATTTGCAATGGTATTTTTTAGAAATTCACCATTCTTTTGAGTTTTTTTATGCAGTTACAAATATTTATCAGCATCATACTATTATGTATTTATTTGGGGGGTACTCTACCAGTGAAATATAGACTTTTTGTGGTCCTGGGAACCAAACCCAGGGCTTCGCATATCCTCTATTTAAAATTTAATACTTAGCATTACAACTTTCCCTTTATTATTCTTCTTAAGCATTTTTAGGTCTTATAAAAATGAAATTCAGAATCACTTATCTATGGAAAAATCTCTACTGAGATTTTTGATTTGCATTACATAAATATAAATAGATTAAGAATTGTTTTTGTAACCAGAAATGCTGTCTCTTCATCTTCAGAGTAGTTTGTTTCCTTCCTACAGGTCATTTGCATTTCTTGCACATGCGAAGTTTAATCCTTAACATATTTTCTTTTGCTATATGAAGGAACTCTTTTTCTCATATTTTCAAACTGATTATTACTATATCAAAATTATATTATTTATAATAAAAACTTACTATACTTTTACTTGACTGTCTTGGACATCTTTTATCTGGAAATAATTTGATCTTCCTTTCCAGTAGTTCTCTCATCCCTGTTTCTTTTCTGAACATGCTGCCTTGGCATTTTTAGATAGAAGTGATGACAGCATGGATGGCGCTAATGCGAACAGCATATAATTCTAGCATTTCACCACTATTAGTATTTCAGTTATTGACAGCTTAATCCCAATTTTGTATAAAATATAATTTTATAAAATTGTAGATACTTTCCATAAAATACTAACAGTGAAATATTTCTAGACAGTAAGGTAATTAATAAGTGATTTTATTTTCCTACTCATTTTCCCAATAAACACTTTTGTGTATTTTTTATTAATTATCTTGGCATGATCTTTTACATTTTTCCAAACTTCCTGAAATGAATGTACACATATGTACACATGAATGCATGTTCTCTCCCCTCCTCCCTCTCTTCATTTCTTCTACGGTTCCTTGCTTAAGAAGAATGTTTTCAAATCCAAATAATCTTCATTAGCAATTAATACCTTACAGAAGGCAAGAGAGAAGCAAATCCTAAGAAAAGCTTTTTCTGTAGAAACAACAGCCTATTTTGTAAGGGTACCTAAAAATAATACCTTGATACAGTTTCTCAAATTATACTTTATAGTATGTCTCATCCTTTTTACTAAAACTTTGTTCTTGGGCCGCAGTTTTAGCTCAGTGGTTCTGCCACCTGCCTCGCAAGCACAAGGTCCCAAGTTCGATTTTTGGTACCAAAAAAAAAACCCACTTTGTTCTTAATTAAGACTATACTATATGACATAAAAATATTAACAAGTTGACATTAAGAAAGTGGTAATATTCCTAATAAGTGCTCTATGAAAATCAGATTCTAGTACTCTTAATAGGAGTATTGCATGTCAACTAGTGGATGTAGCAACTTTGTCAATTCTTATCAAATCCTGTTTCTTTCATATTTCATTAACCATGATACTGAACCTATCTTGAAATGCTATGTGACACATGAGAAAACGTCCATCTCAAACATAAACAGCTATTATCTTTGCAGTTTTAGTCTACCAAGGAAGTTTCAAACTGCTAAAACAGGCAAACTGCTCCCTATGCTCTAAAAACAGAAATATAATAATTAGGTCACAATGGATAGCTCCTTTCTCGGCCAAAAAAGAAAAAAAAAGAGAAAGAATGATGAATGGAATTGGAATGTTTATTATCGGTGAAATTCTTTAGGCTTGGATTCCAAATAAGTATCCTGATGCAAGTTACTATGACAACTTAAATAACAGAAAATGCCCCCTACCCTTCTACCAAGCTGATTTCTCTGGCAGACTATTTCAAGCCTTCTAAAATCTGTGTGCACAAATTATCCGTAACAACAATAAACATCTCCTTACAAGTTTTACTCAAATATTCTCATCTAAACCCTTAAAACCAAGTATAAGCATAAAAAAGTATTTTCCATGAAATCAACATGAGACTGAAAACACACACACACACACACACACACACATTTAAATATAAAATACTTAAGAGTATTTCAAAACTACTTTTCATTAGCAGAGGTACAGTATATTGCCACCATATGCCTCATTCTAGAAACTATGTGAAATTACTTGCAGGGCAGTTCTGAAAGAAGATTATGGAGCTAAGTCCTGTTTATCATTATTTTTTCCCTCAGTAATGCTTTTTACAGGAAAGTATCAGAAAAGGGGCTGGGAGAAGATTGTAGTCTTATTTTGAACATAAAGAAAAGCAAACAAATAATCCATAAAATGTATTCTGTTGTACCAAATGTCTTTCCACACAAAATATAAGCTTTAAAATGTTTTCACAGTTTACATTTATAAACCTAACAAAGGTGCCTTGTGATAGAGTGTGAATTATTCTCTATCATTCTCTAAAAGAAAAATGGACTCAAGAAAACTGCATCTTCATGGAGAAAATATTAAGTAGAGATCTTCTGATTGTTGGACATTAAAAATTTAAAGTAGCCCAGGGCCGGCGGGGGGAGAGAATTTTACAGTGTAGCAATAACAAGACTTCAAAGCTGGTTTTGTTACCCACCAAAGTTAACATTACAGTACTGAAAGGCTTAGGGACTTCACCTTCTCTTGCAGGTTAAGCAGGGTTATTACTTCAGAATCCAACAGAGGCTAGAAAGTTTTTATGCATATCTACACCTTAGCCCTGGGCAGATCCTTCATTTACTTAAAACATGGGTTTCTCTTATGTGAGAAACCCAAATTATAAGTAAAGAGCAAAATAAAAGACAGATAACAGGAAACAGGGAGACAGATCTTTCTCAGATGGGAAGGGGCCCAAGAGATGGAGCAGGGGAGAGGGGAGAGAAAGGACGACGAAAAAAGGAACTAAGACGGGTTATGTGCATGTACCAACTCCACACAAAGAATGTAAACATTATGGCCTGCAAACATGTGCTGATAAAAATAAAACACATAAAAGCTCATTTGAAAAAGAAAACTCAGCAAGCTAACATAGTCTTTGCACTATAAGTCAAAAATCAAAGGCTGCTAATCTTGGGCACAAAAAGCATTTGAGAAGAAACAGCAAAAGATGGAAACTTCATCAGCAAAATCCAACCAATTCACAGGATCCCCACCTGCATAACTCTGAGTGACCCAGGGAAATCAAATAATTGAAATGTTCAAACCCAAATCCACAAAATCCTTAAACAACAAGCCCAAACCAGTTCTCCTTGATATAACTCACACATAAATCTTTCTAAGTAGAAAATAATTAACATATAAAAGAAAGCTTCACTGCATAGCTTCCTGGGAATGGAAGCTACAATTTAAGTGACTGCCCAATCACAAAGAGAATGTTAGTTAAACTCAAACATTTTTATGTTTTTCTTTTTCAAATCATATTATAAATAGCAGCACACTAAGAATAGGGCTTGAATTAAGACTTTAAAGTTCTCATACAGAAGTAACAAAATTGCCTTACTAGAATCACCATCTTTCACTCTCAATGCTTGTGGCCTTATAGACATAGTTTTTGGTAATGTCACAAAAAATGTACAGAAAGGTCTACATTAGAATTAAATCACTGAGGATATGGATTCATAGTTTTAGGAGCTAAGTCCCTTCACATAACCTAGCAATTATTAGAAGGCTTTAAAGGTTATGCTTTATTATTTCAGGGGGAGATTAATTTATGTGAGACCTTTGAGAGTCATCTAGTCAAAAATGCAAGCACATAACTTTTGCAAATGAACTAAGGAATTTATGAGACAGCACACTGGTTTGTGCCCTTCAAGAGTTTATTCACCTGTAAAATGTGAACAATTTATTCATAAGTAATTCACTTACTACAAACAAGGTCAAATTATTTTCTCTTTTGGGACCAATAAATCACTTACATGTTCAAGCAACAAAAAACATGCAAGCAAGCATACTAAAACCAAGTGAAACATAACCTGGTTGCATATACCCACTTTATGAGATTTTTCCCCACTTTTACTTAAGGAAGTCAATTATAGACATTATTGAAGAGATAGAAGCTCAAACTATAAGTCATTCCAGTCTTACCAAGACTATCACAAAGAACTGTCAAAAAATTCAGTTAACCATCAAGACTTTCTAAACCTTCTCTGCTTGAAAGACTTGTCCACTTTAAAAGAGATTCCTGGGCCAGGGATTTGGCTAAGAGGTGCTGTAGCCTGCCTCACAAGCACAAGGTCCCAAGTTTGATCATCGGTACCCCTTTCAGAATAAATAAATAAATAAGATCCCTGCTTTAAAAGAGTAACCCCCATCCCAATTCAAAGCATCAGAATAGTGCTCTTACAGAAAGCCCACGAGCAGTAATACATTACCCTAAAAACATTTGCTTCAGACTACAAATTTGTACCCTTAGCATTCTTTAAGATGCTTTTAGTGTCAACACAGATTTAGATATAGGAATTCTATTAGTGACAAAAGATTATCACTAACTTTACTTCTCTAAATATACATCTTAAATGATCCCCAATTCACGAGTGAATATATCTATAAATGTCTCTCCAAACTCCAGAAGTTCTTTTCAGTCACTGAGAGTAATACTATACTTCCAGGACGCAGGTCAGGAGTACAAGTGTTCTGACTCACCTCACTACACTGGAGTCTTCCCACCAGGGCCAGAATGAGGTAGTTTTGAGGATCAGATCCACGCAGCACCAGACAGGTATTCTAGGAGGATCCACAGCAGGCTCCTGGAAAGGCACACAACATTCTTACAGTCTGAGCTAATTTTTATCTTAGAAATGCTAAATCACTCACCTTAAACTTACAGTTTTCAAAGAGCAAATTCACTAGCTTGGGGTATCAGTTTGGCAAAGAGTAATTTCCCCCCACCTTCCCCCTCAGTTATTTGAGTTGCAACACTTGTGGATGAGTTTGTTTGGTTTGGTTTCAATTAGCATTTTTATGACTTTGAAAAGGGAATTTCAGTTGTTTTTTAAAAGGTCATCTGATGAGCCCTTCACATTCTAGGAAGGTTTCTTGCTTTCTGTTTCTATTAACCAAATCTCTCTGCAATACCACATTAATTTCTTGAAAGCAGTTAACAGATATTTGGAAAACTGCTTAAAGCCAGGGCTAAAAATGAAGTTGAATGAGAGATCTCAGGCTTTCAGATCTAAAAAGTAACAAAAACATACCAGTTTTCCTTGATTAGTACATATTACTACCACTGTCTGGCTTAACAAAGAGGGCAACTCAGTAACATTTCTTTTGAACACTTTATTGCCTAGTGCTGTGACCGTCTGAAGCTCTGCCATGTTAGTTATAAGGCAAGCCTAAGGAAGAAATCCTGGCCATGAGAGCATTGACGCAATTCATCTATCTGCCACATTCAGACTATGCCCTTCACAGATGTTTCCGCACTTATTTATAGAAAAGTTTACTTTAGTAACAAGACCAGCTTCTATCAAGCAGTTTTAAAAATATATCCAGACATTAAGCTATTATTATGAATAAAAAACATCACCCAAAAATGTTTCAGTTCTTAAATTTTTAGTCATGAAATATCAAATTAGAAATAGCATAAGGAAAAAAAAAAAAGGTGGACCCGCAAGCTTGATGAAATGGAAGAAAATATATAAATTTCAAACACAACTTAGGAAGGGGGCAGGGGTCTATTGCTTGCCCTTCCACAGTGCCTTTCTCCCTACACGGCTGCTGGTGCCCTGAATGGAGGCATTGTCTCCAATCCAGTTACTAGATTGACTAGACTAACACTTCAATAACTTAATATTGGTTACAAAAATGCCATTTGCTTTCTGATTATTTTTTGTACATAGTGTTACAGTTACAATGCAAAAGTGCTTCCTTCCAAATTTTAAGGGAAAAAGTGTAGTGGTAACATTTTTTTCTTGATGAAAATAAATAGGGTTTAAACCAACTAGGTATCACAGAATTCCTATTTCATCCTATTATACCAGATGCTGGGGGAGAGCTTCTGGCTTTAACTAGATCTATCTCCCTCCTAAGAAAACGAGAAGACATTCACCAATCTGAGTTTGAAGTGACTTGGTAAAAGAGTATGTCAAATGAAAGTGACATCCAAATGGCAAAGGCAGGTCACCTCTGCTGAAGACTTCAGTACCAAGTGACAAGAGGCTGCACAGGCTTAACTACACTACCTCCCATCCTTGGGCCTTGAAGTTACCTGGAATTTCAGTCTGGTTGGTAAAAATACTCAGTTACAAAGTCAAAATCTCTTCCTACTCATCTTTAAACACTCATCTCTCTTTTTAGTTGTTTTCAAGAAAACTTTTAAAGTGGAAAGTGAGCAGTTGAGAAGGAAAGTCTAAAATTGACATCTTTACCACCCTTCTGTTCACAAAATAAGGTTATTACCAGAACGAGACATTAAAGGCCAAGAGGATTAATATCTGTATTCCCTCATATATAGTACAAAATGTACTAGTTTACACATATGCTGAGATTAAAATCTCTCCTTTTCAGATTTTTATAACTGCAAAACTCTCAACAGGTCAAGGCTCTCTGAAGCAGGATGGGGCTACCCCAGTTCTGCCCAGGTCCTGTAATGTGCTTTAGGGATGTCCTTGAAAGTTCCAAACCTGACGGGAAACTGGGACCCTTGGGTTCTTACGTACCTGTCCCCTGCTCCCAGTTCTTTCAGGCATCGATTTTCTTCTTGATTGTAACACCTGCCCTAACTACTCAATGCAGTGTTCACTTAGCCAGGTCACTTTACAGAGACAAAACAAAGAGATCAAATCCTATCACATTTGACTGCTTTTTAAAGCCTTCAAAAAAAACCTCAAACTTTTGCTTTTTGCAACCTCTTTTGTAAACAGTAGTTATAAAATACATGTAAAATCTAGTAATTTTAAGAGTTCTTAAAGAAGTCATAAGATACCTGAAATTTAAGTAGGAATGATCTCAAAAAACCTATAAGGTACAGGATGTTCTGTTTGAGAGCTCAGGCACCTTCTCAGGCCACTGTCTTAAGCTCATCACCAGTTGGTCTCCCAAAGCCACCACCTGGCACGCCCCAGTCTCACCACTGCTCAACTTCCTGCCTCAAGCTCCACTTCAGGTTGGCACCCCATAACCAGGCCCAACAACTCTTTGTCCTGGCCAAACTCTTAACTCACTCTCCAAGAGAGCCCTGACATTTCTTCTCTTCACCCCTGGAACTTTTCCTCACTCAAATTAGTCACTCTAGGTATTCTCAAGTGGCTAACACTTAGTACTTACTGGCACTGTTTACTGAATCCTCACAACAACCTAATGGGGTACAAAAGCTGTAGCAAGGGAATAATCACAAGAGAAAGCTAAAGAATAGAAAGGCATATAGCTAACTAAGAGGGGAACCAGAAATTAAAGTCAAACAAATTGATGTCTGAGCCCATGATTTCAACAGCTGTAGCTGCATTATAATACTCAGCATAAATTATAATTACACATTTGCCTCTTCTTGATGGCAGAGACATTTTGCACTGATACATTCACAATATCTCACATATGAGAATTGTTCAAGAAATGTTCACTGATGGCTTGATGAACTTGAGAGTTTTACAGAATGTCAGTGGGCTGATCAGTGGTGCTGAGGTTATCCTCAGACAAGCCTTGCCTCTCTAATTAATCTCTTCTCCTAAGATGTAATTCTCCTATTACTATGTACCTGAAAATCAGATATGTGTTAGATAAATAAAAGTTGAAATAAACCAATAATAGATGCACAATTTGGGGGAAAGGAAGAGAAACTGGAAAACTTTATACCCCAATAATTATATTACTTTTAGGAAAATTTAAATTAAGGATATTTGAACATTAATTGGAACTTACAAAAACACACCAAAGATTAAACATTCTCCTATTTCAGTATCCAGACAGCTCTAAGACAGTTCCCAAAGATTCATGTCTTGTGGTATTCATACCCTTGTGTATCTTCCCACAACGAGCAGTTAACTTACACAGCCAGTAGGATATTGTGGAAATGTCAGAGAAGACATGGCAACTTCCATCATGTTCTCTTTATTTCATGCCATAAGATAACCCATCCCATGTTGTACAGAAGTTCAAGAAGCCTTATGGAGGGGTCTATATGGTAAGAAACAGGCCTCCTACCAACAACCAGCACAAATTTTCCAGGCAGGCAGGTGAACCACCTTGGAAGTGGACATTCCATCTCCAGCCAAACCTTCATATAGACTACACACAACCTGGTACGACACTTGAACTTAAACTTTGTATAAGATCCTGAGCCAGAATCATCCATCTAGGCCATCCTTGGATTCCTGACTGAAAGAAATGAGATGAGATTTTAAAAGTTACCGTTTTAAGACCCTAGGTTTGGGGCAACTTAGTATTTGGAAACAGATAAGTAATATACGTAATAACATCCACGCAACCTTCATTTAAGTTAAATAATGTATAAGAATGCAAACAGGAGTAACTGATGTTAATAAATACAATATTGGGATACTGCATTCCTAAACACTAAACGTAAGCAAAACAGAATGCTGAAGAACAATTCAAAAGCAAAATACTGTAAACTCTAAGGAGCTCTGCCTTTCTTGCTTTTTTTTTTTTTTTTTACAAATGAGATAAAAGATGCAAGCCCTTCATTTCCTGATGTCTTTTAATGACTGCTGATTAACTGCTGGGTATGTTCCCTTACTTCAAAGTAGGCCCATCAGGAGGGACAATCAATGAACAAAAGTGGCATTTCTATTACTATAGAAATGAGAAAAGGTTATTTCTCTGGTTGTTCAAGTATTCTAGGTCAGATATGAACAAGTCAACTAAGTTTTGAAGGAAATCAGCTTTTCTCTATTCTATGACACTCCAAGATGCCTGAAAAATTTAAAATGAAAAACAAAAAAGTACATTTTTTTTACTGGAAAGAGAGAATATATCTGAAATTCTAAATATTTCAGTACAGAAAAAATGTGGTAGTTCATTTCCATAAACGAATCTTTGTTTCTACAAAATAAATTAAAGCCACAAATATACAAGTCTGAAATACTCCTAAATGTCTGGTTTTTCTAACAGAGGAAAGGGTAAGAACACTCAGGTGCTTTTTTCCTTTTTTGACATCAAAACTTTACATAGTTTCAAATATAATGCCATTCTGCTAAAATCAAGATGCACTGTTAGAAAGTTTTCTAAGGTTTTACAAATTCCATATAAAATGTTAAAAAAATAAAACGACTCTAGAAATAAGGAAAACTTTTCATGAAAATAAGTCCATCATGATGCTATATGATATACTATTTGCAAAGCAGAAAGCAATAAAAAAATTAATTATATAACAAACATTTACCAAGCTTGTATACTTATTTTTTAAAGTTTTTATTTATTAGTACATGTTTGTAGCACATGATGTTTACTTTCCTTGTGTGGAGCTGGTGTACGTCATAACACATCTTCACACCCTTTTTCATCTCCTGTTCTTCTTCTCCCTTCCCCTCCGAGAAACTTATTGCCCTACTTCCCATTATCTTTTACTGTGTACCAAGCCCATGTATTTAAAATAGGGTAAAGATTTTAAAAATGAAGACATGGATTTCTTTCTACTATCTCTGCAATATTTATCAGACATAACTAGTATCTAGTAGCAAAAATGCCAAATAAACGTCTGGTAAACACCAAAAGGCTTGGAAAAAATTTATACAAGAAAGAAATTGCTTCTGGATGGTGAATATGCAGGAAAACTTCATGAAATAAGACTCTCATA